ATATATTAGAACTTATAATATATTAATAAATCATAAATAACCTCTTCTTAAAAGTCCATCCTATCAAATTTGTCCTGGTGATATGCAACCGAAATGGACCATGCTACTCTCGGGTCAAGTACATACCAATAATAGTTATGGGCTTAGACACCTAAACCAACAACAAGATGAAAGAGATTAAGTGAGAAGAGTATGAAATAGGTAAGAATAGAAAAGAAGATATGGTATAAGGTGAGATGAGATTGATGGGGTGAGAAGACACAAGTAAAGATAATAAGAGATAGATGAAAAGAGAAGATAATATAAGAGACATATGTGATGAGAAATAATAAGAACATAGCATAATTTGAGGAAAATAGATTAAAAAGATAGAGTATGGAAAGATAGAAATATTAGAAGAATATTATGATAACATGAAAACAAATAGAATATAACTCACCAGACCTGTTGTCTAATGTTCACGTAGCAACCATTGTACGTGAGAAGATAGGAGCACGACTTATAATAGAAGAATAATTTTATGTCTTTGTACTTTCCTTGTTGCATTATATCAGAGTTTGAATTTATTGTAAACCCGAATATTAGCATGGGTGTAAAGTGTTTTTTAAAGTTATAGAATTCCACAAAAAATTATAGAAACTCTGATAATCCCTAGATATTTAGATGAAAAAAAAATTTGGGTCGTTGCACCACGTGCCACGAACCTTACACTTGTTGCGTCGCAGTCACTAAGTGCCAAGATAGTTGTAACTTTAGACTTAAACTCACGACATGAATGTTCCCTTAGTCGCGCCGCGATTCTCGTAGCATAATCCATTTCCTTGTTAAGCACTTAATAGTTAATCCCTTAAGACAAGGGATCAAACTTCTAGATACCCTTCCAATAGGTCTTAAAGGACAAAGTTTCCAACTTTATCCATAAGAAAGCCTTGTGCAACAAACCCTAACTTCTAGGTTTAAAAATAGGACAAGAAGTATACCAAAATCCATGCATGGCAAATAGGGAAAGACAAAAATCCATTCTTAACACCACAATAGGTCCAGGAGACCCCAAGACATAACCTTTAGAGTTGTCCAAACTCCATCAAAATACCATTAAAGGGACCAAAACAAGCTCACGAACCTAGATCTACAAAACATAAAGCATAAAGCTTGAAATTTGGAGACTTACCAAGGTACATAGATGACTTAGAAGGTTGAAATGCCACAATATATAGCTTCTTGGCACTAAAGTAACTTCCTTCAACTTCAATACACACACAAATGACTTAAAAGTTCAACAACTTATGAAATGGAGGTTAGGGTTTTGGGAGAAACGTTCCTGAGGAATAGAGACTGCTAAATGAGGCAACCCTAAGAGTTAATGTCCTTAAATAAGGCCCAAGTCCCGATGTTTAGGGTTTTGTGAAAATAACGTCTTCGCACTACAAGCTTCATTTAGATCGCGCCACGACTAAGGGTTTTTATTCACCTCGTGACCCATACTTGTTCGCGCCATGCTTTTGTTTCCTTTACAAAACCCACCATCCTTAAACACTTGAATTAAATAAACTTGGTATCAACATTCCCAAAAAGTAGGTGTTACAGTTTGTTAGAGAAATTATATCATTTTTACTTGGAAATTACGTAACCCCAAAATATTCTTCCAGGGTTGTCCTGTGTCATTGAAGTGAAAATTGGAAAAACATTGGCATATCAACATCTTATTACGCCCTTGTTCTTCCATGGTGAACCTCCATTGAAGCTTGCTTTGTTTGAAGAAGGTATCATTATTCCTTTTGAAGATTGTTTAAGTGGAACGAAATAGGGGAACCTTTTAAGAATGTCGAATGGTTTTAACAACCATGCGAGTTTCCAGTGTGGTCTTGGTAACCGACTACGTAACCTTTAACCTCCTAAAATGCATTTATGATAAAAGCTACTTAAATACAAGACATTAATGGACACAAAAACGAACTTGGGGTGAAATTGTATTTATTTATTTATTTATTTTGTTAAATCTAAAGGGTTTTGTGACTAGGGATGAAAATTTGGCCTGGAAACCCGAACTGAATCGAATTAGACCCGAATAAGCAATTCGATTCGGTTCTCAAGTATCTATATTAGACTTATTCGGTTATCGGGTTATTCGGCCTGGGTTACCCAAATAAGGGATTATTCGCTTCTAAATACTCAGTCCGAAATTGAAAAGTCAATTTTTAATCGTATTTTTCTTGCTACGCCGAATGACCTACATTCAATCGATCCGCTCGTGAATAATTGTGTATACTTTGCATTATTTTTAATTAACAAATTTGTTTCTTTAAAAGATTTGTTATAGAATCATAAGCTACAAAAGTCATAAAAAATACAATTTTTATAATCATATTGTAAATGTTATTTGGGTTATAGAATCCTAATACAGTTTATTCGGTTATATTAGGTCCTTAATTCAACTTGTACATGTTATTCAGATAATAACCGAAGCAAACCGATTAATACCCGAATCGAATCGAACCGAACCCGTATTGGTTATTTGGTCTGGTTTTCGGTTCATGCAATTACCCTTATTCGGTTTTCAAGTTCGAGTCGGTTCGGTCCGGTTCCGACCCGAATAACATCCCTATTTGTGACAATATCCCACAATGCAAAAGATGAATATAACAAAATTTCTACATACGAATACTTATATCCATAAACCCTAGCAACTGTCGGGTCGAGTCGATATACGATTTTGAGCCTAACAACCCTCAACCTATTCCAAACACTTATCCTTTGAAATCGCCAATCGGGTTTGTACCCTTTGATCGGGGTCAGATTATTCGGGTCACTAGTCATACTATAATAGATACTTTTGCCATACATGCTAGTACACATCTCTTGAAGAGAGAACGACTTTCGGTTATAATAAATAGATATTTACAATTATTTTTGGATGTGTGTAATCCAAATATATATTAATACTTTATATTATGTAGTTAGTTGTTGGAATTTCATTCTATTCGAGTATTTGTTTTTTATGAGAATTATTAAAAAATTATTATAAGAAAAGTTAATGTTGCTAATGAAACGTACCACAATGACTTGTACCTCGTCACACATCTTTTTTTTGTTGTGGGAGCAAACGTCGTCATTTAACGGAGTCTAAGGACAAAGAAATACACAAACGCCAAACGGAAAATAAACCGCGCGGGGTCGCCAAAATGATTTCCGTTCAAAATACAGAGACTGACAATTGTCAGTTTTTCTTTCAGCAGCAAGAACACCAAATCAACAATGGCGAGAACGAAGCAAATAGCTAAACGGAGTTCCTCCAAGGCCAAGCTCAAAACTGGTGTGCACATGAACTCACTTTTTCTTCGTCACTCATTTTAGATTGAATCATTATTTTTTGATATTTCCCATTTTTTCTTTTGCTAGAACCCTAAAGTCTTTTTCATCAACTAAAATCGCAGGTATCGCGTCTAGTTCTACCAGCACGGTGATAATCTTTCTCTATTATCTCGATTTCAGTGTTAATTTTAAGTGTTTTTGAGGTTTGATTTACTGATTTAGCAGCAGATTTTTGTGATGTAATGTGGTTTTGATGTTATTTTGATATCTTCTGCTCCAGCCACAACCAAGAAAGAGTCCGAGGAAGACTCCGTCAAGTGAGTTCTTGTATACGTTTTGATGTTTGTTGTGTGTGTGTGCTGAGATTTTGTAGATCTGAAAGGTTTTTGGTTTACAGGTTCAGAAGCCGGAGCCGGAGAAAGGAAGAGACCGCATCGTCATAAGCCTGGGACTCAAGCCCTCCGTGAGATCCGGCGTTTGCAGAAGACCGTCAATCTTCTCATCCCGGCCGCTCCTTTCATCCGAACTGTAAGATGTCTGCAATTGCATTCATCCCCAACAAGATTTTTGTTTACCAATTGTGTACTTCGATTCTCATAAGTCACAATCATATCAATTACATTATTTTTATCCAATTTTCTTGCAAATGGACAAATTAAAGCATTCGTCGTCAAGTTATGAAATATTGGGCACTTAGATATGTGATTGTTTATCTTAAATTCTTCAGGCATTAATTGAAAAAACCCTAAACGTTAGTTTTCACTTCATATATTTTGCCAGGATTTGTGTTCAATTTTTGTGTAATCTTGAAATTATATATGTTAACACACATTGAATCGTTACCATAATTTGGGGATTTAGTGAGGGAACTAGAAATAAATTTGCCTTTGTTTTGTAGATTAATCTAATGTGAGAGAAAAAGCAAACGTAATTTTGAAGAGCAAAGTTAAGAATTTATGATGAGAAATCAAATATCCTCCTATTTTTTCTTCCTATCATCTTCCTACACTTGTCTTTCTGTTGCAAATGGACCACAAAAGAAAAACTACTAATGATTGCGGTCATTTGCCACAACACAAAATGACTAAAATACCCTCATTACATATTAATGATGGCTTTAATTTGGGTGTTAAATTGTTTGCAGGTAAGAGAAATTAGCAATTACTTTGCCCCTGAAGTCACCCGATGGCAAGCTGAAGCTTTACAAGCACTTCAGGAGGTATCATATTATTTCCTTTTTCATTAAGTCGTTCTTTTTGAATTAAGTAAAAAAAAAAAAAACACTCATATATAGCTTACTGGGTTAAGTCATGTCCCCATTAAATACATTAGTAAATGTTAAAAGTTTTTTGTTATGCAGGCTGCAGAAGATTATTTAGTTCAGTTGTTTGAAGATTCAATGCTATGCTCCATACATGCAAAGCGTGTGACACTTAGTAAGTTTTCACTGAATCTGGGAAAATAGAACATATTAAAATGGGTAATTTGTTTCTCCTCATTACAACATTGTACTTTGAAAAATTTATCCAATTATAGCCATGTCATCAAATACAAAAGCAACTTTTGAATATTATATGGGTTAAAATGGGTAATAGCAAGTAGGGTGCTATAATAAAAAAATTAATGAAATTATGTTGCTATTTCTTGTAATTAGCTCAATTCTATTTTACCCATGACCAATGCTGACTTGTCATTTGCACATATTATTATTTTCAGTGAAAAAGGATTGGGAATTGGCAAGAAGACTTGGAAAGAAAGGGCAGCCCTATTAATTATACCAGTTAACTAATTGTTTATAACATATGTTACGTGGTAGTGACTCCTTATTGTTACTTCTTGAATAGATTTATGAGGTTAGAGGACATATTTATAAACTTTACAAAACTATATTTGTAAAAGTCACATGATTAAATGAAAAAAAAATCATATTTACATCATGCAAAATTTGTAGCTTAAGGATAATAACAATATATAACTTGAAACTTATAAGCATTGATGATAGTAATAATATAATGAAACTTGTACAAATGCTTACAAGTTTGGTGTTACATATTGCTAAGATGTTATTATGTCAGTATGTTGCTATTATGTGTAAAGAGATGTAATGTTTATTATGATTGAAAAATAAAGTAGAATTTACAAGTTTCAGGTTAAATATTGGTAATTATTTGTCAAGTAATCAATTTCCCATCCACTCACCAAATATACTGATAAGTGTGAATTGAGTATTAGTTTGTAAAGTAAGAAAATTAAGAAATGAGAATACACTCAAAATTTTTATACCAGTCAAACATGATATTGAAATTGTGAATACATAATATTTAAAGTACATGTAATGTTGAAAATTACTTCCAAACATAAAAATATAATTGTTTTATAGCATTGTGAAATGGTGTATGCATCTACAAGTATATACAAAGACCATTTCTAGCTATAAAACATAAAAATGGAGGCAATAAGTTTTTGTACACTCATATATACCAAATCAGCTTGAATGAGCAAGCCTTTGTTAAACACCTGAATGCCTTCTTGATGGGCTTCCTGTTATTACAGAAGCCAGTCTTTTTGCAGTCCATGTCACCTTCGATATGTTTCTAAGATGAACCACCATTGCCATTTTCTCATCCTCTGAAATCTCAAACATAAAACCTACCAAAAAGTAACAGGAAACTCGTTAAACCTCATGGCCCACAACCGGGTCTTACCCATGACCCTTGAGGACCCATTTGGTATAAGACAGAACATCGTGTACTGTGTTTGACGTGCATTGGATGGAGACTCAGACAATCTTTCTAGGGCTGTTTTCGATGACGAGGATAAGGAGGGCATTTATGTCTTTTGCACATACGAGAAATCAAGAGCGAGCCCATGTCCCACCTTTTTGGACGGGACAACAAATTGAAATTTTTTATTCTATTGACATCGGTCATAGTCTCAGTCAAATGCACGTCAAAAGCAGTACAAGCACAAGTTTGTTCTGTCATGCGTAACCAACAGGCCCCGTTGGTTACATAGGACAACTAAGGACGGTCTTGCACTGCGTTTGGTTTGCATGTGGCTGAGACTGTGACCGATGTCGATAGAATAAAAAAATTTCAATTTGTTGTCCAATCCAAAAAGGTGGGACACAGACTCGTTCTTGATTTCTCGTATGTGCAAAAGACGTAAATACCCTCCTCATCCTCGTCATCGAAAACAGCCCTAGAAAGATTGTCGAGTCTCGGTCTACTGCATGTCAAACACAGTATAACCTGTTCTGTCTTGTTTTGTCCCGCCCAAACAGGGTGAGACTGATGTCAATGAGACAAAAATTAAAAAGATACCTGAACTCTTGGAAAGAGCGAGTAATGAAAACGAAGCAAGAACTCTTTCTTCAATCGTATTATCACGATTCAACGAATCTATCAACTTCCGTATTAGGGTTGACAATGCGGCACTCTGAAGAACATCTCCATCACCAACCGTATGAACAAATTTACTCATCCAAGCAACTGTCACAAGGCTTGCACGTGCCAAACACGGGATCCCATAACCTATCGATTCCCCAATTGCCCTTATAAGCTTTTCGCCACCACTAATCCATAATGCCATTGCAGCTTTCCTTTGCCAATGATCTATCTCATCGTCTTCATTCTAAACCACATGAATTAATTAGGTTTAGGTCTAAGTTTTAGTCCAAATTAAATGGAAATTGAGAATTTGGATATTATTGTTTGTGATTACCAAATGTTTGGATCCTTGGACGATGAAGTATCTACCATGGAAGCCGCCCTCCAAGCTCTCATCATAACCAGCTTCTTTCAAGATCCAATTTTCAGCTTCTGGTGTGCCTGTGTAAGCATACCTGCCTCCTAATATCAACAAGGCTTTCGCTGTTTGTTCTTGAACATTTTCATTACATATTTGACAATCTAAAGCTTCGGTTATTGCATCTATGGCCTCCTCTCGATATACACTACTCTTCAGTGGATCTCCCTGCAATAAACTGCTATATAGGGGTGTTTCTTTTTGACTGAATGCAGAAAGAATGACTTAATAGAGAAAGTCAAAGAAAACGTTACCATAAAAAGATCAAGCTGAAGCATTATAGTAGCAATTAGAGGGCGTTTTTCTTGTGTAGCCTTTTGTAAAGAAACTAACAAGATTTGCATAGTGTTCAAGCAATCCAATCCCTTCAATAATTTGTTGAAAAGTTTCGTTCTTTGCTCAAATCTGTTGAATACAAGAAAAAAAATCATTAATCCTACTCTAAAAGTTCCCTGTAGTGAATGTTATGAATGTACCTATGGAGGCAGATTAACTCGACAAGCAAAGAGAACACAATCTCATTGCAAAATTTGCCATCGACCTCTTTACCACGAACCAAGAGTGCAAGAATGAGCTCCGGATTCAAATTATCCGCCAAATAATGGCGACACCTTCCATCGGCTTGAATACACCAATAAATCACAGAAACCGCTTTACACTTCTCAACATCATCTCCATTCGTCATTCTTCTCAGCAACAAACTCAACCCTCCAATCGCAATCACTTGTCTTCCATTCTCCAGATTCCGATCTTCATCAAACCCCGTAAGAAGCCGATCGAGAAAATAATACGCCGCGATTTGAGGACTACACCGAACGCTGAACAATTGCTGTGTTTGATCTCCGAATTCAAGCACTCGTAGCACCAACGGGATCCATTCGGTGGAAATCATCTGTTTCGCTTCAGGTTTCACGAAATGGAGCAAAATCGATGCTTTTAGGAACAGGCTACTGTTTCTCATGAGTTCAGTGAACCCTTCGAGACGTGGATCAAGGGTTAGGATGATCTTCCCGTTCGCAGGGTTTTTCGAAACGAGTTCGGTTAATAAGGAGATGACGAGTTCGAGGATTTCTTCGTTGGTAGATGCGAATAATACTTCGAGCATACCTTCGATTACTGATGGATGGGATAGTTGTTTTTCGATTAATTGATCGTCTAGCCATGATTTGGTTATGACACGAATCGCGGTTTCGCATTCGGGTAAATTTTCGGAGGTGGTGATTGAGGAAATGGCTCTGGTTAGATCAGATGATGAAGACGCGATTGAAGAAGATCTGGTGAATCGTGATTCTGTTTGTAAGGTTTGACATGGAAGAAATCGCGTGTAGTCTGGTTTGCTTGATGAACTTCGAAGATCGGAGAGTGTACTCTGCGGGTGATCAACAAAATTGATCAGTGGCTTTAACTATTTCTAGTATAAAAGTCAAAATTAAACAATTTCATAAAATGCTATTAAAAGCAATACATAATAAAAAAATTATTTATTTATTTGTTAAAATATTTTACTCTTATTTATTTCTATTATATCATTTTATTTGTAGTTTATTTCTTATTAAAGAAGATTTATATTCTGGAAATTTTATTTCTTTATTATATTGTGTATATATATTTTTAAATTATCCATTATAACAATAATTGGATATATTATTTTAAAATATAACCATAAATAGAAAGAGATTTATTAAATAAAAGAAATAATAAAAATTAAGTTGTTATTTTTGCATTTTACCCTTTAATATTTTTAATGTAAATTTCATCAACAAAACAAAAAAATTTATAGTTTATCTCTAAACCTTGCCCCTTTTGGCTTTTCCCATAAAAGGAAAAAAAATAGCAAAGTAATGTCATTGATTTGTTTATTATAGTATCCCATTTTTTTTATTTTTTATATTCTACTTTGAAAGATCTACCAATAATGATGTCATGAATATATAACTGTATAGATCTTTTCAAAATGTAATGTCTTAACTAAAAAAAAATGAAATCATTATAAAAATGAAAACTTTCTTGAAATTAGTCTTTTCCATAACAAATTTTGTGCACAGTTTAAATAGCAAAATGAGAAAGATTGATAAACATACTTGAACAATCTTTTGTTGGTTGGTATCATAATCATCTAAACAAAGTTCTTCTTCTTCTTCCTTTTGTTCCATGGCTCCATAATCAGACTCCATAGATGCTTGTTTCTCAATCGGAGCACCAAAAACAGCTCGATGTCTTCATGATCAAAGAACCCAAAACCACATTCAACATTTGCTTTATAAAAATATAAATTAAATCATTCTCATCAATTTTCAGAGGGTTTTAAGACTTACAGAAAGTTACCAAAGGATGAACTCCTTCTTCTTCGACTAGATGAAGAAGATAATAAACTGATTGAAGGCAAAGCCACAGAAGGAAGTGTAGCAGGAGGTTGACCACCTGTTTTAAGCCATTCTTTATAGTAGAGAGCAAACTGAATCGTACCCATATCCATATGATCTTCATAAATCTTGCTCAAATTGTTAATTTGTTCTTCTTGATCCTTCGAGCAATCATCAGAAAGGTTATCGATTTGTTTGTGGTACCAAATTTTGATATGGAGGAGATGTGGAAGAAAGAAATGCTCCCAAAGATCTGGTAGCAAGTGAGTTCTAGCTAATTGAGGCGAATCAACAAACACTTGGAGTGCATGTCTTGCAGAGATTCTATCGTTCTTCTCAAGCTTGTAAACGATTGATAAATAAAGCTGCGCACAAGCAGAGAGATGTGAATTTGGAGTTCCACATGTTGTGCCATGTCTCGATTCTTTCGAATTCAAAGCTGCAACAATCGTTAAAAACCCAATTGAATTCCTCAACGCTTTCATCTTCAATTCCTTAATCGTCCCTGGATTATCAATCAATTTCTCAATACTCTCGATCCCCAATTCCATATTAGCGAAAACCCCATTATCCGACAACCCATTGCTTCTCCTCACCAAACACGATTGACACTTGTTCCTCAACGAATCTCGGAAATCCTTGTCTTTCAAGTACTTACCAGCATACCCACTCAAAATCGAAATCACAGCTTTGGTAGCAACTTCATCAATGGCGGGTTCATCCGATCTTCTCGAAGCCGATGAAAGACGACCTTTGGATGAAACAACCGATGAGCTCTTCTTGTGCTTTGGAACGTCGATGCTCTTCCGGTCACGGCAGATGTAAATAGGCAAAGAAATGGAGTCATGATCAGGAGCTGCTACTGTTCTATTGAATCGGACCTTTTTGCGATTGAAATTATCACGTACGAATCCTTCTTTGGCTAGAAGCTCACTTAAAGAACCCATGTACCATAGATTAATAAATGAGGTTGATGGTTGATTCGTGAATGAGAAAGAAGATGAAGAAGAAGAGGAAGAAGAACAATGGCAGATGTCATAGGGGTCGGGGGTGGGAGTGGGGCAGAGGACAAGAAGGTGGCGGAGGTGTAAGGAGTGGTAGTGATTTCCCCAATAATTCTTGTTTTAACGGTTAGTGACTTAGTGCCTTACTGGTTCTTCAAAGATTTAATAAGTACATTCACATAGAAACATATAAAGAAAACCAAAAAAGTAGTCATTTTCTTGAAGTTTTTATATAAAAAAATATTCAAAGTTGAAAGAAAATTCCCACGATGACCACATATATGGCGGTGGCACGCTAAGACGGTCAAAACGGTGTCGTTTTGCAAATTTGCAGGGTGTTAGTGAAATGTGTACCCTTGCAAAATCAACCGTTATATAAGACAAATTTTCATTTTTTCCCCCTATTCTACAATGAAAATGCATTTTAAAATCTCTTTCAACTCTAATTTCACACTCCGCTGTAGGTTTAAATTTTTTGCTCTAGGTTCAGATTTTGGATCATGGAGGTAATATGATAAGTTATGTTGAACATATCAAGCCTCTTGTTAGGTTTTCAAACCGTCTAAACAAATCGATCATGGTAATGGAAACAAAACAAAATCATATGTGTTCATGCAACCTAAAAATTTAAGTTTTGTGCTATTACTGCTACCCTATGAAAACATAAAAAATGAAGAACTAGATACATCTCTTGCAACTAACGACTTTCGAGCTTGAGATCTTGTGCGTGCCACCTTGTTTGGATCAATCTGTCTCTTGGTTCACACCCAATGAACTCAAAAGAGCAAAATAAGATGAAGTGTGAGGAGGGTCAAATTCACAAACCGTGGGAGGGAGAGGAATTCGTCCACTGTAGAGGAAGGAAGAGAGTTGTCGAATTTGTCAAGCCAAAATGAAAAGAATAATGAGATCCCAAGGGCCCTATTTATAACCTTGGATAACTTCCTTGGATTTGTCCTTGTGACATCGCCTATTTTTCATAACCGAAAAAAACAATTTTCTTTACACTTTCAAAACCATATTTATTGTTTGCGGAAAATTCCAATACAATAAAACATTTTGTGGAAACTGTCCCGTTTAATTAAAATATCATGAGTGAAGATGTTATTTCAAAATACAATACCCTAAGGATGTCATAATCAATACAGTACATAAGTTACAGCGTAAAGACCTAACAATCGACTCTTAATCACTCAACATCCTAATCAAGTTCCGACAACTTTAATCCTGTTACATGTGATGCATATAGTTTGAGTGGGCCAGGTTTGGGAAAACCTGATGAGACACATAGGGTTTCCAATCCCATACTATTTTAGTGATAATAATTCATAATTAATAAATCTACAAAACCAACTATTACCAACAATATATCATTTAACATAGATATCCATAAGACATTCTACCACATCTCGTCGATTCTCACATATTGATCCTTGAGGTCTAACATGATGGATCACTGCAAGCAACAAGTAGATTTTCTGCTTCGGGGATTCCTTGGAAATGGAAATCAATAAAGGCAACCATAAGGGGAATAGAGTATAAACACCTATGGGAACGGATACCCGTTATGTTACATAATACGCATGTGGGTTATTAATCCACATTAACTACGTAATTCACGAGACTTGTCTAGATCACTAAAGTGTTGTCATCTTACTCTAACAGATAACCAAACATACCTAACCGGTTTCTTGATACATGCCCACCATTTCTAGTTGTCCAAAAAGAGGAGGAATACTAGTGTAGTACTCTGGTATGTAACCTGTACCCTGACACACATCAGTGTCATAGAACAGAGCTCTACTCTCCGTTCTAAGCTCACACTGTCACACTCCCAGCCGACGGTGGAAACACCGAGGGTGACATACAATACAAATCTCAGAAGATAGATTATCTTTAATTAATAATATCAATTACATTAACTAAACTGATACATATCTATCTTCATGTGGCCTGCCCTTCCTTACACTAAGCTTATCTTTATCCTAGGAGCACATGTGATTTTGAAAACGTCAACGTGATGTTGGTGAGTTCATAGGTTTATAAGTTTCGATAAAACTCTTTGAAAAAATTTAGGATTTTTGTTTATGAATATATTATTCTTTCATAAGTTCCTTATTTCTTAGGTTTCAAATTCGAAGTTTCTAAAAATCATATTTTCGTTTCCTGATTCTTATCCTTAGGATGTACTATCAATCCTAATTTTCTTTCTTTTAAATCTTTCTCTCTTTTAGGATATATTAAATATCCTAGCTTTTATAATTGTTATCGAATTCTTTTTAATCGGATCATCCAACTACTTGTAAGAGTCCCTCTAGGCAGTTTAAGTAAAGATTTTCCAAACAGTATTACCATGAGGCCCTATAATCGACGCTATGAACCGATATATGCCCCGCACGACGCTTCATCGGACGTCGAATAATATTATTTTTATATTTAAGAAAGTTATCCTGTAGAGATTATAGCTAGCAATCGTAGGTGGGGGTTTCAGCCCTATATAGATATACACATATCTTTGTGGCTCACACAAGATTAACGATTATAGGTTCGGGGTTCTCCGAATTTAATCAGGCTATATGATGAATAATAACAACTCACTAACACGTGTTTATTTAATCTTAAGTACGATTATAGTTTTATATTTTCTTTCTTTCATCTTTGTCTAATGAAATTTTTTCCCTAATTATCACTATATATATACGCTTTA